TCGATAGTGTACGACGCACTAAAATGTTTGACTGTTTATTTGTAATGAAGTTCCATCAAAAAAGATGTTTAAGTATTCTCTTAGCCAGTTGCTGTAACGTGCGTTCAACGTATTCCGTGGAACAACAACAGGAAGAGTACATAACAATTTTTGAATTCGGAATGGAACGCTGTTTTTGAGGTTCGCCTTGAGCAAAGGTTTGATCATAAACCAAGAACTCAAAGATTCAGTCAGGAGTGTGACTTGTACGGATTGAAAGGAGCATCGATTGACTGCGTGAGTACACTGGTTTCCTTGGAACGGTCTCAACAAACGATCGGATAGGATGTTCGGACATGTTCCTAGCTCAGAGAACGTTAGCAATGTGCTTCCGTTGAGTCCCGTGTGTATGATTCGCCTCGTTCGGTTCGTCAGAGTTGGTTTTTGTCTCATTGGCCCCAAACCTTTCATGAGTGGACCGTTTATGTGGGATTTCTGCACACATATCCCTAAAGTGCACCTGTGGACCCGAAAACTGAACCCATGCCTAGTCTGACCTCCTGTTTCGGGACTGCAAGCTGAGGTCTATCATTCATTTACCGTTGGCAAAGGTGAGTGCGTGTAACCTACCTTCCGATCGATCATGTTAGGTTTTACGCATAAAAGTGTCGTTCAATAGGAAATCAGGAGAGAGGCTTACGGTGACTCCATGGAGTTCTTTGTAAAACTTGGCAATCAAATGGAATTACAAATTAGAATTATAAGACAAAGTGACTCCTTCAAGGAGACAACAAGCATTGTGGGGCATTGGAGGAGGGATGTCAGGTTTGATAAATCAGTGTCATCACGGATAAAAGTTACAGTCCGATGAGTTGAGCAATGGTAAAAATGAAGATCACCTAGAAGGAGCACATAAATTGGGGACTAAAATCAATGTCTCTTATCAACTCCATGACCTCAAAAGTGTAACAGAGTCTCTGCTGGCATAAACGTTGATGTAAAGGTTCCCAAATTTTGACTTGCTGATGTGTGGGTTCCCGAACGGATTGTTGGTCTAGAATCTCTCGTGACCTTTTTTTTTTAAAAGGGTACAGCTGTTTGAGGGCTGAAAAAGCGTTCTTTTAGCATGGAGATAACTCAGGAGCGACTTTTACTACAAAATTCATGCGCTTGCACATATGACGAGCACTGATATCCGATTTAGTGGGTTTCGTGTTAATCAAGGAACCCTGAGGCTCCTCGTAAATGTATTGCCGTATTGTTCGGCTAGTGCCTATCCGCAGTCATGTGAAATGCATTGAGTGAGTCTCTGATCAGGTTTCTCGTCCATCCACTGATGTCATGCCTACGTAGTTAAGGATTGGACAGTTATTTTAAGTCAGTCCCGTTTAGTTACACCAGTTACTGGGGACAGCAGATTGTTAGAAGTCCATCCACAGAAGACAAGGAATAACGGTAGGTGAAAATTCGTGTAGATTGAATGGCGACTGAACTTACATAAATTTTGTCACACAGTGCGACTTCCGTTAAATATAATTCAACACTGAAATCAATCAGAAATTGCTGACTACACAATCAAGACTAGAGAGGATTTGCTAGCGCTACCAACTGAAGTACGGAACGAAGTATAACCAAGGCACCCACCACTATCAGGACCAATGTTTTATGTGATTGTTGTGGGTTGAATTCTACTCTTGTAATTTGTCACGTGATGGTTAGAGTCAAGACGATGATCTGCAATGCATAGTTCTATCGAACTGGTGACCCGGTGGTAAGAGTCGCGTTTCAAGATTATGTTCAGGCGATTAACCACAAACTCTAATGTTTTTAATCCACTTTGATGCATAAAGCAACTATCGAATAGGTCAAATTTATCAGAGAGATTGAACATTACCAAGAGGTCACGAGTGATCGATCACTGTTGCAGTGTTGCAGGTTATAGCACGTACATCATTGGTTTCTCGGCGGGCGGGTTTTATCAGTTTGAGATTGAACGCAAGGCTTCTCTCGGAGAGTTTCCACGCATCGCTGTTCGTGTCTCGTTCACATATGGTAGGCGATCCTCACATACTTCGCTTCTGTTTGGTGTTCAGCTACATTATACAAAGAGGCGGTACATCGTCGAATCATCCCCCTTAGAGTTTGCCTTAAGGATTTGCTGGAAATCATCACTGGTTCTTGCATCAAGCAATATTCTCCCACAGTGGCTCCATCCCAATCTATCCAACGACGACGGTACTTTAAGTCCCAATTTAAGTCAAGGTATGTTTAAATCAAAGAACATCTTGATAGCTTTGATGTGATCGAAATTGGACTTGACTGTTTTAGGCTACTGCGTGAAATCCTCATAGAGACCGGTTGTTGTTACATCGGCTGTCGCATCAACTTTCTTGAACAGACTGGGATGGATATAATCGACTCGATGTCGAGATTATTGATTACATGAGGCCAGACCGTGGATTTCTTGTTTGTGGTGCCAGACCCAACTCCAGCATGTGAGAGGTAGTCTAACTACAATACCGATGCCTGTACATCACATTAGGTTAAATCCCAACGAAGAATTTAGATGTCAGCTCAGTGCGTGAACCAAGCTCATGATGCGGGCGTCCTTTAAATAACAGCGTATGGATGAAGCAGTTTGTTCAGCTGAAGAGTACTCAATGTCAAGAATGACTGCACGTGGTTACCTGGGGTGACCCACAGGGATTTTTCTAAGACGGAATGTTGATAGCAAAGCTCAACTACTCAAGAAGAACAAAAGAATACATCTGTGTTCAGCTTAAATGAGGGTACTAGTGCATGGAACTTAAGGTGGTTACTAGACGTAAAGGTCTGCGAAAGAACGGGCCATGAGATGAAGCACCATTCGTGAGACTTGCAATACAAGGAAATCAGGAGAGCCAATCAGCCATCACCAGGTTCGAGAAAGAATTAGGTTGGCGTAACACCAAGTATTTTAAGTTGTAAGATAGGAGAACCTGACTTTGAAAATTTCACACTGGACGCCCTAATACACGGAATTCTGGACATCCGGAGAGGTCATCGGGTTTTCAAGAAGCTAACCACATTGAAAGGTTTTGTTTTCTAGCCATTTGAGTCACAATCGTACCAGACGTGAAAAATATTGGGACCTATGCGGTTGTTATTGGCAGCTTCTGTCTTGCATTCACACTCAACAAACGATATTCCAGCACGATAACGCGTCCAAACACTCGCTTTGTGTGGCGGAATCATGCAGCTGCTTGGTAACAATTTGTTCGGGGGCCAGCCATCCCTAACAACCGAACATCACATCATTTGGACACATGTGTCACGTGCAGGACACGGGCCAGACGTAGGCATGCCCTGATTGGTCAGAATGCCAGCCAATCCGAGTCAAGCACCTTGACTCGACGGTTCTCGCCCCCTCACGGACATTCTGGCACGACCTTGTGGAACACTCTGTGACTACCCTATATATAAACAGTTGTACTGATTTTCCTTTGTCTCCATAAAGGGCTGTGTACAGCTACCGTGCCTTTTGCTATACCATAGTGGGCGGAGCAGGAAGCCAAGGGACCGACACAGAGTTGCACTACCGTCCAGCAAGATATAACAACTGGCGACAACCCGAACCCACGATGTCAATTTCGGCAGAGCAACTCCAATTAATTTTACAGCAACAACAGAAGCAGTTCGAAGAAGCACAACTGAGGCTTGTTGAATCTCTGATGCGCAGTATGTCGGTGAATGCGATAAAAAAGGGTGAGCCTCCGTCTTCTTCCGCAGATGCTGCTGCCAGCTCAATTACCGAATTCAATTTTGATGCTGAATCTGGACGAACTTTCGAAAGTTGGTTCAAGAAATATGAAGACATGTTTCAAACCGACTTTGCTCAGTTTGATGATGCATGGAAAGTTCGACTGTTGCTGCGGAAACTGGGGACAGCTGAACACAATCGGTTCACAAATTTCACACGGACATTCTGGCACGACCTTGTGGAACACTCTGTGACTACCCTATATATAAACAGTTGTACTAATTTTCCTTTGTCTCCATAAAGGGCTGTGTACAGCTACCGTGCCTTTTGCTATACCATAGTGGGTGGAGCAGGAAGCCAAGGGACCGACACAGAGTTGCACTACCGTCCAGCAAGTTATAACACAATTTGAGTGAATGAGATTGCCCCATCATAACGCAGACCTTAAACTCATTGAAAATTTCTGGATTATTATGAAAAGACGTACTATGTTGGATACCGTTGATTTCGAATTTTGTCGGGCTTGACAAAGGAAATACCACAAACATTGGAGGGCCACAAAAGACCACTTTGTGTTTTGTGTCGACCTTGGTTGTAGGCCGTTGGTCTTTCAGGTGGAACTTGAAATTCGAATTTATACTATTGATTGATTTGGGAGTGTGTTTGTCCGCTACGCAGGTGACAGAAATGTGTGAACTGGTGTCACCTTGCGCACGACTTTTTCCATATATCGCAATTGAGATTATTGATTTTGTCATCACCTGTGCTACATATTGACATCCTAACCTGGTCCAGTCTCCACTAGAACCTTTGGTGATTGTGCGGGTTCGGTCTTGCACGAAGTCATTCCATTGACTAATGAGGCAACTAGGAGCTCTCGAAATTTGTCAGCCACTCCTCCACAACAGCTAGCAACTGTACACTTATAAAGGCAGTAGATTTTGTGTTCCTATCTTACTTTCTTTTGTCGTTGCTTTATGAACAAAAGCATTGTCAGGTGTAACGAAGCTATGCTCCAGTGATTTGACCATGCTACCAATTTCTACGACACGTCATTGTGGAAAACACTAGAGGGGAATCGCGATTAAAAAGAGCTTTTATCCACATGAACGACGAAGAAACGACTTGCTGATTACTAACTTGGCGTTTAGTACATGTACGTTTGAAGCATTTAGGATGGTATCAAGCTACGAACCACAGGATGTGATTTCATCAGCTCTGGTTCCTCAGATTACAAGGAAGAAAGCACTTTTCCAAAACAGTTGATTTAATGAAAAAAAAACAAATCTCTTTGGCAATGGCAATCTAGTGCGACCCTCATAACGGTTCAAATGGAATGCAAATAAATGGGTTCCCGGTAGCACACAGCATAAAAAATCTGTTCACGTGAAAATGCTGCAGTAAAGTTTCGAAAGTTTTGGTAGCTAATTCATTTCGTTTGCAGCATATGGTCATCATAACACCGATCTACTCCCTGCCAGTCCCCCTTTTCCCGATGTTCTATACAATGGATATGCCAGTCGCTTAGCTTCACACCAAGGGAGGTGACCATGTGTGATAGCTGAGTAGGGAATAATTGGGGGTCAGCATGGGTGACTCCACAAATATCCACTGGTGAGTGGTAGGCGGCACACAGCTGTATACCGCACTTCGATGAAGGCGGGTCAAATTCAAAGTTCACATGACCGTTGGTACTCGTTTGCTGTCCAGTGTAGTGCATGGTTTGATAAGTGATGCGTGCCTGAAGACAAGAAAGGGTCGTGAATATGTAAGCATACTCTGTGTTTCGTTCAGTGTTGAGCAAGAATATCACATAACTTACATGTGTGAATATTCAGTCACGATATCTGTTTGGGAACCTGCGCGATTAAAACGAATTTAGACCTCTCAGTCAAGCTGATGACTGGAATGCAACTGAAATCAGACTGCTTCCACGTAATACTCAGTTCGCTCTTGTTTTTTTAATTGGTTCTTTCAGAATACATTAATGTCTCCTATTAATCCTGTACATGTTTTATAACCAACGGAATTACACATATGCGGTAACTGTAAGAGGGTTACCTTTGTTAAGCGCACCAACGACCCGTTGTACCAGACGCGGAAGGATTTTGGACCTATAATATACAGAAGAAAGTGTGAAAAGTTAACGTTCTGAAAAATAAACGACAAACTATATATGTTGTTGGTAGTGTGAGGAGATTTGGGAATTTTTGTGGAGATTCCCTTCTGTAAGTGCAGCCAATCTATGCTGAAAAGCTGAGAAGCACTGTACAGCTGTTTCATCCTTATTGGTCATGATCATTAGTACGAAACTCACGAAACCCCGGAGAGTCTTGAACTCGCGACCCCCTGGCTAGTATTTTAACTTTTAACCCTTCGGCCACGAGTGGCTGGCCAGCAGTGTGTTAAATTGGTACTCAGACAGGATATAGCGCCGCTCATCCTTCACGGAATCCACATCACGCGGTCACGCGTGCTGACTGGCTCCTCGAGCAATGACTTCTCAGATGGGAATTTCACTCATCGTGCGAGTTAATCACACTGCTGATCAGCCACTCGTGGCCGAACGGTCAAGTGTTCAAACTACTAGCCAGGGGATCGCGGGCACGAGACTCTCGGGAGTTTCATTAGATGCGCACTGCTGATGATTCCCAATAAGGACGAAAGGGCTGTCCAGTTTCAGTACAGGTTGGTATCAATTGTCAAGAGAATGTTATCGAAGAGAAAAGAGCGTCCCGAAGAGGAAAAAAGTGCTTATGAAAAAGTGCGAGATTATTTAGTACCAAAATTAGCTGATTTGCGGACGAAAAAGTGACCCACCCCTATCTGATCATGGAATTTGTTGGGGATGTAACGGTTACGTCTGTGTCGATTTCTCGCACGCGTAGCTTGATTAACTAGACAGCTAAATAATGGACACGCGATTACTCGTGGCAATCACCGAATTTGTTGCCATACATACCCGAAAATACCGCTGATCTGTACACTCTTATCCATCGGAGGGACTCCGCTGTCTTCGTCGATCAAAACTAAGCATGCCTGCATGTGAATGTCCAACGCCTAAAGGTGCCGTATGATAGTAACGCCGTTTCAGTGAGCTAGAGGTGAGGAAGACGACAATTGCATAATTCTTTCATGCTGCTATACTTTTAGGACCTCATAAGACAGTCAGGCACACTCCTGCTGTCAATACTGACCCCAATTCAGTGATTTCTCAGGTTCACAGTAATAATTGGAAGTTTTTCCTGATCAAAAACACTTTAAGTAGAGGAAAACAGAAGCTTTGATATAAGCGAAACCGAAATTCTTAAGGTTTTTTGAGATCACTGTACTTGTTTATCCCTAAGCACCGACTTTTCTGATTATTGTCCTATCCTTAGTAGCCGCGGCACAGTTAATTCATGCTGCAAATTTGTGTGCCGCACTTATGTGGTGGTTGATGTATAGCAAAATTCAAGGTTCAACAAAACAGGGGGCCAAGTTTAAACATAAAGTGCCTTGATTTGCAAGCCTGAAGTTGACGCAAACTCAAACCCGTTTGGTTGATGGATTTCCGTTGAATTTACCTCCAAGAAACCGAATTCTAGCTGCGTTTACTTCCACTCATTACAAGGGCACTCATTGTCTTCAAATATTTCTCAGTGGGCTTACTCGCTTTCAAGAGGATGCTCACTCATCTTGGTCCTTATCTGCCACCTGTATTTCTTGAATAAGGCAATATCTTGAACCAGGGGTTACTCTTCGGTTGTGGACTAATCCACTGTAGGAAGTGAGGGCCTCAGTATTCAGACTGACAGAGAAATGATGCGGTTTATAAGCAAAACTCCAAATGACTGGACGGGAAGGGTGCTTAAAACCGAAACGGTCAAAAATGAATTAATCAGAGAAGCTCCAGTCAAGAATAGTACCCGTCAATCTCATTGGGCTACAATAATTCACCGTCAGTCATGGGAACTTGCCTACTGGCTAAATGCAAACGGGTGTATAAATGCTGAATCCGGGACCGTTTGTTTCTAACTTCACAAAACAACATATTCAGTCATGTCTAAGCCTTCAAAGAAATTCAGTTACAACAGAGCGAATTTAGTGGCCGTGAATTGGCAACTTCGACAAATGTGCCAGGTCTAAAATCTGTAGATTTTCAGTTTGATGAAAACTTACATAAAGTGATTTTAACGAGAACTCCGTCCACCAAGCAGTTCCAACGGATAAGTCCATGTTTGAACGTACAACTCGATACTTCAAATGATTCGTATAATTCACTGTGTGACATGAAATTACAGTAAACCGGTATTAGACAGTGCGTAAACGGCACAGTGGATGGCGGTAAGTTTGGCTTTGGGTGCATCAACGCGGACCTCTCCCCCCAAAAATGGCGCTTCTTGAAGGAACACTACTCAATAGGTGGGTGGTGAGCGGTGTTCCCTCATGAAACATATTGCGATATCACAAATATCGTACCAACTCGAATATGAGACGGTCTTTGTGCTGAGCATTTATTTGAAGAATATCATAAACAAGAGATTCAGTTGGAATTCAGGTGAAGGAAGAAAGTGGTCCTTCCTTTGTTCTCTGTTACTGCTGATGCCAATTTCGTGGCAACTGTGAATAAGAAAGTCAATTCCGGATAACTCGACCTTTCGGGTAAACGCAGATCTTATCAGGCTAAACGAATGTGGAGTTATTCAGAATGAGAAAACGACTTGGTTGCTTGGTAATACTATATATTTACTCCATTACAGAGTTAATCCTTTAACGTACAATGTAAAGTTGCCTAAATCACAGCACTAGCTTCAGACACGGAAAGTCTTTCCATGAAGCACCGGTTACTCTATCGCATATTTCAAGTTGACTGAGCTTAGTGTCAACAGAAGTATTCACAGCAAGTTACTATCTATAGAATTCTATCAGCATACACTAACTTTCAACGATCCGACGTGATCATTCGTCCGTCAGCCTATCTTACCTACTTAGACAAACAATGACGAAATTGCGATGAGTACCCGGATGAGTTTTGGGTTGAGAATAATGAATGAATAAACGCGAGAATGAAACGAACAGTCAAAATGTGTCCATACTTTGGTCAGTTACTATCTTGGGCAAAACACAGTTCACGCGGTATTCTCACAAGACCTCTGCTGCACATTTAGTTCTACGCTGGCCGTGAGAAATTGCAGAAGCTGTTCACCATTAGTGTGCGCATCAAAGTGTCTGGCACATTTCTAAGGGGATTCAGATACTATTCAGATACTTCGCTGAAGATCCTTGATCATGTTACGCCAGATAACCTACACTCTGATATCTAGAGGATAGTAACACCAAGATATCAAGTACCATCAAGTGTTTCAGTTTAGTGTCGCATCCCAGATTGCTGCACTGTTTCTGGTAATGTGGCCCAGAGGTACTATTTTGTTTCAGGGTGCCGTGGTGGATTACTGCTAAAAGACAACAAAGTGCGAAAATGCTATCTTCTTTGTCAAGCCGGAGAAAAGACAATCAAGAACCCTCCAAGTTATCGAAAGAAGATTGAATGTCTAGTTACCTTGACCACTGGTTTTGATGGGTGAATTTTGTGTCTATCTATCACCTTTTTAAGGATCCAAACTTCTGTGCGTTCTTCCATCAGCGTTGAAACAAGCCTATCATCCGGCTCAATATCTGTTGCAGATATCGGGTCGGTGGATCTAGTGTCCAATGGATGATTTAAGCAGCAAACCAAAAATTGTACGGAAGACCCGGTAACGCGGCTTTCGTATAGGGTTAAACAGCCGACTGCAATTCGCTTTACGCAGCATCTGTTTTGCACCTAGCTGCAATAAAGCTGAGATCAATGAAGTGCAGCTAAATGACACAACGACCAGAAAGTGTTTAGTAGCCTAAACTGGAAAGAATATGACGGACATGCATTCGTATGCTTCAGGGAGTAAAATTTAAAAGTACTACAGTTCTGGCTTGACACACGAAGTTACCTATTGGATAAATATTCTAGTTTTTGGGCAGAGGCAAACCAGATTCACGTACCTGAACATTTTTTGGCAAGGTGTATAGGTTCTTAAATTTAATTGCTGAATGAGTAACACCATGATTGAGTTATTCCTACTGTATGTATTGGGGTGTTCCGTATTTCGATACTGTGTCTGAGCACCCTACATGCCAATTTGTAGGCGTCAATTGTGTACAAATATTTCATTCACTTAGATGACCAATTATTTGAAGGTGTGGCAGTTGCTCATTTGGTCGAAAATATGATAGCAGTTGCTGATTCCTCCTGTGAGTCATCGGCAGCCAGCAGTAAGTTTTCTTGTCTGCTTGGCTACTCGTGAAAAGCATGACTTACTGCTGCTTATTATAACGCCGTGTTGCTTCCCTTCCCAACGTTCCCCCGGGTCTTCCTCCCTTCTTAGGTTTGATAACTAATGTCGAAACCTTTCGCCTGTTCGTCTTTGCTTGTTGTGCCTAATGTATCTATCTTCAAGTGTCTGTTCCGACGGGAAAGCAGGTCTCCCGAGGGTCGAACTCGGGACCTCTTGGATGGCACACGAGCGCGCTATCCGCCGCGCTAGCTCGAATTTCCAGAGGCCCTATTTCTATATTACCCTTGTATTGCATCTCACTTGGTAGTGTTTGTTTGTAGTTTGTTTTAAACTGGCCTAAGCGCGCATTTTGATTTGATATGTGGAACGTGTTATTTCGTTATGCTGTAAGCTAATGAGTGTAGGTCTATTTGATTTGTGCCAGGTAGTCTCCGTTACCTCCCGAAACTGCTGACTCCTTTCTGCGTAACTGACTCTGTATACGGTCAAATTACACTAGCTGACTGTCCGTATCCAAAACCCAGATGCTTTCCTGTCCCTTTTTCTGCTCCTACCAATTGCGTTATTATTGACTGTACATCCCACTTAATTATAATGCTTATCAACCGCCCCTTTCACTACTCAATACAGCCTCCACTATACTCATCCGTTCACTCCTACTGCCTACTGAATAAGAACTACGTAAAATCCGATAGCTCCAGTTGTCTTGCGTGATCCTTATCTGCCCAGATTTTTCAGTAGTTTTGGATGACTGATACTACAAAACCCCAGAATGAACAAGAAGATGAACAGTGTCATTCACATGGTGTCAGGTTTGCAAAAGAAAGGAAAAACATGCTAAGGCACCGGACGCTGCCAATCACACCCTCCATCCGGAATCTGACGTCATAAAAATCCCACCATCGCACATTCAACCGATGCAACCAACTGAATAATGGACTTTTTCTGACGGAAATGTTGTGAAAATCTGGACATATGTCCGTTGGCTTTTCTATTCGAAACAAATAACCTGGAATTAGAATGAAAATTTCCAAACAGAAAGGTCATTTGTTGCACAACATTGTAAACGGTAGTGGTAAACTTCCATAACATGTCTTTTGCTCAACAGTCATGTACCAAAATAACTGACCCTTTACAACAACCAGTCAACTGACACCAGCATGGTCACGTGGCATTGTGCCGACAATCAGGGCCGATCCGAATGTAATTTAGTCTGAGCACGTTTCACCTAAACGTACTTACCAATCATGGAGGCACTGCTGGGTTCGCGTGTCCGACTTTTTGGTCAAAACTGTGTTGCTGTTACGAAGATTGTGGCTTGTAATAAGCTCAACACTTGACTTTATGCTTTCAGAGTCTGAGCTAGACGGGTAGTCGGTTAATCGACGTTGTTTGAATCGTCCCGATTCATGACTGGTTGCTTGCTTGCACCGACGTCGACCAAGCAGAAGGATACTTGACATTCGACTCACAATAGGCTAAATAACATTCAAAAAGGAGAGGGAATATGGTAATGGGAGCTAGTTAAGTAGATTTTGGAATGAGACTGCCAATCTGTTGTGGAACCTAACTGGATGGGAGCCAAAGAATGAAGAGTTGTTGCATGCAGTTGGAACGAATGGAATCGTTCAAAAGAGGTGTACAACCACGTGGAAGGAAACACACAAGCTAATCTGAGTCAAATCCATACTTGTGATCTATACTTATGGTAATGTATTCGAAGGCAGAGCGCTACGGATAAAGGGCTTTTGGTTTCTCCTGAGGTGGGCAAATTTACACTAACTGGTGGCTGGTGCGAGTCTTCAGGGTGGCCTCTATAGGGAGTGTGGCTCTTCTTTGGAGATCACCACTCCGTGAGGGGGGGGGGTCAATTTATGGTGTTTGAGCCTAACTAACTATTCCTTCCTTTGGTATGCAGCAATCAATCCAAAACACCAAACTAATTTTTTGTTGAAATTTCATTGTGTGTGGGGTTAAATTTAAATGAGTTCTCGACAAATACACCCATTTGGTTCTGACAGGTTTTGTCCAAATCTGTCCAATTTGGGTTTAGATAGAACAATAGGCTAACTAAAACTCGGCGACTCCGCCTACCAGATGAGCCACAAGAAGGGCAAAACTGGTCGTGGACTATCGAGGAGTTTTCAGTAACTTTGAGTAGTGTATTACGTTAATCAGATGACTTTTCTTGGGTAATGACGTTAATTCATTGGTTCCAAATCCATTTCTCTTTTGGTATGAAAAGCCAACTTGGGTGTCATGTGATAAATAGTGGCAACTCATATGGCCCGTACATTAAGTAAACCTGATCATAGGCGGTCACTGAATGCATTTTTCGCACCGGTTACACAAGGCTAAGGTAACAAGGTGCGGATGCATCCGACCGTACTGAGATTCCAGGTAAGTCATTTGGTGAAAGAGAACTGGGTGGCTTTTTCTTTACAGTGTGTATTGTTTGGAATGGTACAAATCGTACAGGACAGCTGTACTTGTAATTGTTTCCTCTTGGGACAGTTTCTGTCATCGTATATAGAAACAGTCAAATTTAGCAATCAGTTAACCTGTACAAAAGGGAGCTGAATCCCCTTACCACTGTTTCAACGGCTCGCACCTCATGAGTTCAAGCGAAGATTTGGACCTTCGTTCGTTTTCTGGGTCAAAAAGCATATATTTTGGCTTCGAGCTACGTATTACTCGTCTGCGGAGGTATGTGTTGCCTAGGTGCAAGCTGTTCTCACCGTAGATCGAGTGCGCTCTTATGGGAAGTAGTTTCGGATGACTTGCATCGATGAGAATTACTAATAAAGATGAAGCGGCTGAACAGTAGCATAGGCTTACTTTTATTCGCTAGACTAAATCTAGACTAGAAGTCCCAGATTTCACTCGACCTTACAACATAAGCGCGTGTAGTAAGAAATTTAGCTAGCAAGGCGAATGATTAAGGAAAGAAGTGAAGCGCTCTCGTAACAATCTCATGTGAAAATCTAAATCTGTTTTGCCACTCGTCTGATGATGTTGTGTTAGACCAGGTCGATTGGCATGCTAACGTGAAGCAACCCCCCCCCCATGAATTGCTTGCTGATGCACGGATCCAACGTCTATCTACATGAGAGAAGGATGTATCCCCGCTTGTTGAACTGCTAACATAGGGCTTATATAAGGCGTTTTAATTGGGCCGCAGAATCCACCTGATTTTGCATAATGGAGGGCGTCAATAAAATATCACGAATGCTGGGGATATATTAATAGAAAGTCCCTTACGATGCACAGAAGACACATTGAGACCGATTTGGAGTCTGAACCAACTGTCTGAAACCAGTAGTGTGCAGAACAAGTGAAAGGTTTATGACCTGAAAGTGCAAACACACAAGGAATCTGCTCGGAAACTATTTAAGACCATACAAGTTGTTTCAAGGCTTATACTACCGTACGGAATTAGTGAAACTTGGCTTAGATCGACATGGATGGGTTAGTTGACCGAGATGAACCTTGAAATTGGAGCGCCGATTTAACAGAGGAGCCAGAGATAGACACTTTTAATGTTTCCATTAGATTTTGCTTGGGTAGGTCATATCAGAACAACCAAGACCAGCTGACTCATCTATATTTGTCTCCTAGTTTTTTCACCTGAACATTCTACTTATAATGCTCTTCAACCGAGGCTATCTTATGTTCTATTTGTAGTGATATTCAAAATATTAAAAATAGATGAAAAGTTTAAAAATTTTCTTCGATCTCATTAGTAGTAGTAAAAACCACGTCTATTTTTGTTCCGTTTGAAACCAACAATCACTACGATTTTCTCCTTGATTCCCGAATTTCAGAGCAACGAGGCGGACATCCTCTGAGGTAAGAAGTGCCAAAGGCGTTCGATGCAGCTATACTAATGAGGCCAATTCAAGCAAGAATTCTTGCTGCAGAATGTGTTCTAGCCGTTTTGATGATCTCACGGCTACGAGCTTAATTTGTGATCTGACTGAAGGCTCTACGAGACACCTTCATTGATCCGTCAGTATTGTTCCAGTTTCTCCGCGTGAACACCGAACAAAGAAGTTTAGACCCAAAATGGGCAAAAGACCAGGAAATCAGCTCCCAGTCAAGATGTTTACGATTGAAACTCACAACCAAGCTTTAGTTTTCTCTCACCTTGGCTAAAGTAGCATGGAGGTTGCATAAAAAGACAAGTTATGTACTTTCCAAATTTGGTCACGCATGTATGTTTGTCCATATAGTGTCAAGGTGTAGAAACTACTTGGCTCATTAAAAGACCAGTCAGTCTGTTTCAAGAATAGGCAGCTGTAACTGAGGAAGACCAATATTTTCCCTTTTGCAAGCGCTATGTACCTTTGCACGGCTACGTTAAAGGAGAGTAGGTGCGGGGAGGGTCGTTGGATGGTAACGGAGGGAGAGAGTAAGTCGTTTCAGTAGTAAAAACGGAGTGACATTTCACCCTCTTGGGGATTTTGAGATGCGGAGACGCTAGTGTACCATTCACTAAATGTTGTATGCGGACCATTGGCAAAAATGATACACTTAAAGAGGACACCAGCAGAAAGCAGGTTAATACATCCAACATAGGTTATGTTACTTGAACTGTGAAACGGTCTCAGTAGCGTCACTGTTTCAACCTGCAATCAACTACTTACCCAGAGTGCACGAAAAACTCATCGTCATTCACAGTTTGAACAATGGCATGCATGCGTACACTATTAGACGGCTAATTGCTTGTTACGCAGAGAAATACTTGAACGAATTACTTACCCAAAACGTCTGCACAGACTTAAGCTCTATCTTCTGACGCAGAAACACACAAGTTATAACTAGCCAATCCGAACAATGTTTTGCCTGTCCATGCAACCAGACACATTCGGCGTTTCAAGTGCTACCAGTTATTGATATGATTGTTTATTTTCTGTTGAACCATTATTGGATGTCGAACAACAGGCACGCTCGCATGATTGGCTTGTCGCTCATGTGACACTGACCCGAAAGCCAGTATGTGACAAACAATTCACAGGACGAGAATTGTTTCGGCGTACGATTATTGGGCTATTTTTTCCTAAAAAATAAACAGAACCGTCGGGTCTCGCTACGTGGAAGGTAGATTGACCCAGTGTTAGAGGGGTTTGTTCAGCAATCCGTGGGTTTACTACTGGGCAACGTCTCGTTTTGGCACAAATGCTTCTTTAGTGGGTGACCAGGTTGGCCGAGTTTTAGGCCAAATGGAGAGCCAATCAGCGAGATCACTTCCGATTAGCAAGCAATAACAGTGTTGAGTGTCGGTTAGAAGGTTTTGCTGGTTGATATGATAAACTCGGCCTTACGGTCGATGGGCTGCGGAAATTGAAAATAATTTTAGCCAGGTTTGGGCCGTTGAACTTCTGATTTCTGGCTGGTTCGTGTCGATTGTAAATAATACGACAGTTTGGTTTGGGGGGTCTGTGATTACGTGAATTTTTGGTCGGTTAGGGCCGTGCACTTGGGATTTCAGCTTTTTCTGTTGATGGTTACTCTTCACTGATAAACGTACCCCCTACCTGCCAAAGAGACTGACCTAGAAGCGTTCTTCACGAACTTACCAGTCCTACACCCTCTGTTCTGTTCACACTGAGATGATCGGTGATTATCATTAATTCGGTTGTTAGTGACTGTGGCGTGAATAATAGACTTCGCATCAAAACTTCAACATTTTCTATAGCTATCTTGTGTTCCCTATCTGGCGAAGGTCCCACCATGGCTGAGTCTCCCACTAACTCTGGATATTGATCTAGGTTTTTCAGTGTCCTGTTTATTTCTCTATTATGCTCACCGATCCTGATGAGAAGTCTTCTAGCCATCTGTCTCATATGGAGCTTAGCACAATCGCTGTATTTACTTTTGTAGACACAGCTTCCGGCTCTACTTACCGGCTGGCGATCCTTCAATTGCATCAGTGCAGGGCGCAAAGCACTTCCCTCCTGGAAAAGCTACTCTTCTTTTTGCCATGTTTAGGATCCTTCGAACGACTTTAGATGTCCCTGGTTTATAAAAACCGATACAATGCACTTCATGTTCGGATTTACCACAGACACCAGTACCCTTCTTAGCTGAAGCCTAAGCAAACTAGCGGGATATCCGCTGTCATTGTCTTCATTTTACTCCAACCCTGGTCACTGTCACTTCTGTACACGGAGCCCCTATCTAGGGTTGGGCGACCTGGCAGTATCCTAGCCCTCGTGCTTCCTTCAGGTAGCATGGTAGTTAAGCACCGGAATGGTGTTACAGCTTTTATGCACGGAGCCTAACTCGGCCTACAATCGGAGCCTACAGCATCTAGCTGAAGGACCCTACCAGCCATTCGACATTTGACACTGAGCGATTATAGACATTGTAGTGTCTGCAATCCGTTGTCATATTTACCGTTCTTCCTGAACTTGAACCACACTTTGTAACTGTCGTTCACATTGTATCATGACGTTTGTTTTAGTGTTACGAATACACAATTTTCCGGCGCGACCTGCTGACTTCTTGCTTGACGACTGTATTTACGCCCGTTGAACTGTTTGTTGACTGTTGAACCAGGGGGACTAAATCTCTGTGTTTGTGTCAACTGTTAAACGTCACAATAAATCCCAGTGACATTTTTTTAGCCGTGAATAATTTTCCTACCGTGGAATATATCACTCACACGGAACCATCTGCAGGAAATCTCGACGAGTGAATATTTTCCTTTCACACCCAGTTACTGCATTTGGATCGGTGTAGTGGACTACTGGACCTACGCATTCGTGAGTCCCCATTTGACTACTCATTCCTTTCCTATTGTGATTTTTGTGATTGTGCATTGGTTACTTTTGCTTGTTAATTTATCCGAACACGCTGATTAGGTCCTAGTCCGCTACAACATTACGCTTTCCAAGACTATTCACCAGTCGAAGCAATCATATGACACCATTCATTTCCACAACGATTATTTCCGAGAATGAGGTCAGCTGTAGATTTTTAACTGCGATGGGCAGACGGAGTTTCTCTGACATTCACACTACATTGTAGTTGAGGTTGCTCACGATGAGAACAGTAAAACTCTTGCACGTACACATGCAAAGCGAGCGTCGCGGCACCACACGATCACGCTGAAAGTCTTCTTCTCTCGAAAAGTACCCACTGTTGTTGATCGAATCACGTACATTACTCACTGACTGATTGACTTCCAGCTCCACTGATTGCTATCCACCCATCTTGTGGGGCCTACCAGAGGTTTTGACGGATGGTCTTCAAGGACAAAGAAGCTCGCACACTGTGCTACCATATTATTGTTACATCATCCATTTGGACTTAACTACACGTGTATTTCGTGGTGCACAGCTCATGCACTTTTAGCTCAGGATCGCAACTGTCCTACGATTTACAAGAAATCAGTTTTATGGAGAGCAAGGTGGAGTTCACTGATCATTGGGCGTTATCTCATTTTGGTAGAAAGTCTAAATAACTCACTTCTTGAATGCAATCAAGATGAAAGGTTTCATCAAAATCTAGTAGACTGGTGTTTCAGAATAATTTGCTGGTGAGATGACCGGATGTCTCATTATTTTTCCAGTCGAGCCTTTCCGGTTCCGGCTGACTTGGCCAAAGTTTCCCTATATCTGATTGATTACACCACTGCAAAAGTGAGGGACATTATTAAAAAATTTTGCTATAGTATTTCTTGAGTAAAGTACCCCTGTAAGGAGGTCACATTCATTCTTACCGAAGAAGTGCGAAAATGTCACGCTTCAGCTCTTTGGTTTTAGTGAATTGCAAAGCTGAAGTGTCACAGTAACCAGGCGAAACAAACGTAAGGGCAACTCCGAGGCGAATAACACTATTGGTTTTTTCCAAAGCTGATCTTTAAGCGGGGAGACAACTATGGTTGTCACTAAGCTGTTTCCCAATAGTAAGCGATAAAACTAGTCAAACCACAAGACGCAGTATTACTACTGGTGTTGAATTGGATAGTATTGTACATATTTTGATAAATTCCTCTTGGCCGATTCATGCGGAAAAGTACTTGAAGAAGCGCAACACGTCATTTTCAGACTTCAATTCACTTTGGTTGCTAGCAGCAGTCTATCGATTACAGACGAATGAACTGCATTGATGACTATCACCAGCTTAATACATAGAGGGAGCAAATACCAAGGAGAGAATTTATCCGGTTTGTAATATAAAATTCGAGGGATCAGGTGATTCATTAGTAAATTTTACCAAAAATATGCCGAAAAAAAATACGGTAGATAGAACCACTCACAGATGTTTCTTAGGCGACCGTGATGATAGTGCGCAAATCACTTTCTGACACTCACAGGCTTTGTCGCCACCTCCCGGAATTCACAAGCTTATCAAAATCGTCGATGCAAAATTCTGTCCACAGTTTGCAGGTGGCTGTGATGATTCCGATAAGCGGTTGCACACCTAATGATCTCATTAACGGGGGCACAATACATGACAGTGCATAGTCGGTTGACCTGCTAATTAAGTATCCAAGGTATCCAGCTATGGGGCTCAAAACGCATGGCTTGTAATCATTCCGTCGAGAAGGACAAACAGTAGTGAATTGATGCAGTATGGAGAGATGACTTACAGGCCAGCAGCCGGATAAACAGACTGCCACCGTGGACAGCGGCTCGACGCACAATGCAATTTTCTGCAAAACCCCTTCGGGTGAAATATAAACTTTTACGTCAAAATGTTGCATTTCTTTGCATATATGCTCAGACTGAAAATCTTTCTCATCTGCCGTCATTTTTTTGCGATTTGTTTTAATCGATCTCTTTTGAAAATTATTGGCGCACATTCGGCTTTGAACTTCGACTGCTATGGCTTCGGAAGTGACTTTCGTTGAGAAATTTGTGGGTGTATCGTTTTCATCCTTCACGGCATTTGAGAAGACCTTAAATGAATACATGAAGGATAACTTTGTGATATTTGTGCGTTCATCCAGTAATCGAAGCACCAACGCTATTTTGCGTTACGGATGAGTGTACTACAAATGCAGCAGGCGCCCTCCAAGACAAACGGAAAGCCGTGGAATCCGAAGAAGCTGGTAAGCCGAGCGTATTTTCTAATAACAAAGTTCGCGAAGCACTAGCTGTCCGGTGCAGTTTTGTCTATGGAGGCAAAGAAACCAACTGGCAGTGACCTCTTATTTTCTGGAACACAACCACAAACTGTCAACGTTTCTGTACGATCGGCTCCGCCTAACCGAAGACGAGTTGGGCACATACAAGGCCCTGCTGAGATATGGAACGCCGTCATCTGAGGTGCGGCAGTTTGTGGCGAATGAATTCGGAAAGATTCTTACAACTAAGGATATACACAAATACCGTCGGAAGTGTCGACCGGCTATGTTGAGTAGGTGCCGCATGGCTGGGCTTTAATGTGGCAGATGACATGCATTCGGTCCTGGCAAAACTTCGGGAGACCGGACGCGTCCTTGTGTGTCAGGGAGAGGAAGGTCACTATAGCCACATATGTTTCTCCCGATGGCAGCAGATAGCGTTATTCCGACGCTTTCCAGATGTAGTAAATGTAGACGGAACGCATGCAACAAACCGCCTTTGGTAAGCTTTTTAAAGCATCTAATATTCGGCATTTAGATATAAACTATACACATTCTTGATAACGGACGGCATGGGAACCAGGCGTCCGGTTATGTATGCGTTCGTAGAGAGCGAGCAGTTTGCTCACATGCGTAAACTGGTCGGCTTATTCAAAGAAATGATGGGCGAAGCATATCCGGTCAGGACCTTCGTAATGGACAAGTTGGCGGCGCAAATGCGTGCGGCAAGAGTCGTGTTCGGTTGTGACGTTGTGCCTTGCTACTTTCA